CCAACCAACCAAATCACAACCAACCAACCAACCAACCAAATCACAACCAACCAACCAACCAACCAAATCACAACCAACCAACCAACCAACCAAATCACAACTAACCAACCAACCAACCAAATCACAACTAACCAAGCAACCAAGCAACCAAGCAACCAAGCAACCAACCAAGCAACCAACCAACCAAGCAACCAACCAAGCAACCAAGCAACCAACCAAGCAACCAAGCAACCAACCAACCAATCAACCAACCAAGCAACCAAGCAACCAATCAACCAACCAAGCAATCAACCAAGCGACCAAGCAACCCACCAGACGTCCGCCCAACTCCGCCTCACCTTTGTACTTGTCCACGATCAGCTCGTACTTGCCGTCGATGTGGTGCGGCCGGAACAACTCTCGGGCCAGGTCCCAGATCTGTCGCTCTATCCTCTCCTCGATGAAACTGCACGATGTGGTCAGAACTGTGGACGGGGGACGGGGCAGGGGGGGGGGGTTAAGTTTGGATGGTTTAAGTTTTAGTTGTAATAAGTGTTTTACGCACTTGCAACACACAACACAATAAGTTCATACAAGTAGTGCCTAAGATTAGACGTCTTACAAGAGATTAACAAACACAAAAAAGAAGGACAGGGTTAAGTTTGGATTTTTAAATTAGTTTTTAGAAAGTGTTTTACGGCACTTGCAACACAATAAGGTCATATAAGTAGTGCCGAAGATTAAAGGTATTACAAGAGAGTTCTAGTTTTTTAGTTTTAGTTAGAGTTTGGCGGCACTAACAGCACAATAAAGTCATATAAATAGAGCCAAAGATTAGAGGTGTTACAAGAGAGTAGCAAACACAAAATAGAAGGAGGGGAGATAAAGACGATAGATGTTTGAATATACTATATATAACAACCGACAAAGGAATCCGTACCTTTCTTACACACGGCCGGGTCCCTGTCTGACGCCTTGGTGATCCTCAGCTTGAGTTCATCCATCTCCTCCACCGTGAGCACTCTCTTGCTGGACTGCTGCCGTCTGTACTTCTTTCGGCGCACGAAGAAGATGAAGAGGATGATGAGGAGGAGGGCGCCGATAATGCCAGCCGGGATGGCTATTTTTAGAACATCGGAAGATGACGATGACGGTTCGATTTCCTTGCAGGTCGACAGATCTGTTTAAGAGCAATGGAAGGAGATATGTGAAGATGAAGAATAATAAGAACAAAGTGAAAAGAATTTACAAGAGATGATGTTTCGCTGGTAAATTCCAAGAATATTTCCATCCAAAGTGAGTGTAAGTTTCACAACCTGATAAAAACGATAATTTAGATGTACTTCCCCTCCATCTACCCCCCCC